TCGGTTCTTACTGCCTGTCTCGGGAAGGTGCCTGAGTGGTGGCAGAGCTGTGCCCTTATCGGGGCTGGGCACGGCTGCCCCTCCTGCTCTGAAATCATCCACAGAATAGAAGGGACTGGATACCAAGGCTCAGATCTTCCCCCGGCTCTAGGAGGGCTGTGTGGCCTCAGCCCCTCTCCTCGGTGCCCTCACGTTCTGCCCTGTGCTTGTGGAATTTGGGCTGTATTTAAGGAAGCGTGGCTCCCAGCAGCCTCTCACCTCAGTGGGGGAGCTACCCTCTTATACCATTGATTGACTCTTGCTGTCGGGGAGAGAGGAGTCTGCCCCTTAGAACTTGTACCTGCTAAGCTGGTCTAGTTTCTCAGACCCTCACTGGCTGGGGGTTTGAAGGCCAGGACAGTCCCTTCTACCTCACAGGTGAGCAGGAAGCTGGGACTCCTGTCTCCTGTGTCCTGGAGTCACCCTCAGGAGAGGGACGCTGCCAGGATGGTTCTCAGGTTCTCTTCCCATCTGCCCCGGCAGCCTGACCGTGTCCTCAAGCCCTGGTAGAGTTCAGCGTGTCCTCCTGCAGTACCTGGTAAGGGGGCAGTAAAACCCAAGCTTCCTGGAGGGCAGGTGATCCTCATGGGCTCGCCAGGGCTGACTCAGAGTGGAACCTGCCTGCCAGCCCGTGGCCAGCTGCTCCAGGGCCCCGGCATGGACACAAGGCAGCTGAGGTGACATCAGAAGGCGGGAAGGAGGTCCCGTTACTGGCCCAGGCAGTGAGTGAAACCCTGGCTTGGGAAGAATGCCACCTCAGCCTGGCACCAGGAGGTCTGAGGGACAGCTGAGTCTGCAGGGAAAGCTGAGATAAAGCCAGGCTGTGACTGGCCATGAACCCCGAGACAGGCATTGCTGACAGTCTGACCCAGTGCTGGGGTGTGGGGTGGTGCTGGCCCTGGCTCCTGCTCATTCTGGTCTGTCCTCATCTTGACCCTGTGACCTTCATCAGTCTCCTGTCCCCTGGGGTCTGGGCCTCCCTAAGCTCAAGGTGGCAGTGTTCAGAGAGCGCTCTTTGTGATACCATTACTTAAAAAGTGGGGTCTCGTTCCTTCAGTTTTTAGGGAAACATTATTATATGGGGCAAGTATGGGTCATGGGACTTTCTCCTAGGTTCCGTGTTCCCCCTTCTCCCATGTTCTTAGCTGAGCTGGCATCTTCCCATCCAGTTTCTAGAAGAAAAGTATACCTTCGTTCTTGCCTGTCTGAGACCCCTGGAAAGAGGTTTGGACTGGCCAAAGAGCTCCTGTTTTCACTTTGGCTCTTTCCAAACCGAGCAATTCTTTCTCTCTCTTCAGGCCTCAGTTTCCCTCAGAAGTATGATGTGCTTGGGCATGGTCCTTGATTTCCCATTGGGAGTTAAACTCTGTTTCCCGCTTCCAGTTCCATAAGAACAGTCGAGAAGGAAAGCAGCTTAGACAAGGAGGACCCAACCCGACCTCCCATGTAGAAAACTGTAAGGACACTCAGCCCCGACCCATCTGTAAAAACTAACAATGGGGTCCTCCACGCTCACCTCTTCTGAGGAGGAGTCTGCTGGTGGCTTGGGGAGAAGGGAGGTGCTGGGCAGTGGGGACTTCCAGGCAGCGCATATCCCTGGGTGAAAGTCAGGCAGGATCGTGTCCTGGCCCTGGGCCTAGCTGGAATTACCTTCGCCAGAGAGCCTTGATTTATTTCCTTCAGACCTCGGGATCGTCCACAGAGATTCCAGAAGCCTCATGTGAGCATGAATAACCGTTCTCCCGGGGCTGCCGGCCAAGAGGCTGGCCTCTCCAACAGCTGCCACTGCTGCCACCACCACCTGCTGACTTGGAGCTCGCTGGCTACCTGGGGTCCACATAGCATCCCAGGCGTGTGAAAGCCTTGGCTGGAAGCTGGTGTACCCTGATTCCAGTGCCTGGGTGAGAACCTCCACCCTGGCGCCACCGACATGGCTGTCAGGGGGCCACCTTCATGTGCCAGAGACAAGGCCAGAGTCTTCCTGGAATTAATTCTGCCCTGCCCATGACTGGCATTGGCACTGGTAGTCACTTCTGTCATAAATCAGCCCTGCCTCTGATGTCTCCTTCTGGGCCACAAGGACAGTCAGGTGGGCTGGTCTCTGTATGTTGTCCTCACCTTTTCTCTGAGAGCCGTTGTTTTGTTCTTGTTTTTATTGCTATGGCTTTATTGAGATGTAACTCACCTACCATGCGTGAGTCACCAGGTAACAGTTGAAGTTGAGCAACTCAATAGTTTTCTGTATTTTACGGAGTTTGCCAACCATCAGCATAGCCTGAGAAACCCTGTCCTCGGGCCACCAACTCCCAATTCTTCCTGCCTCATCCCCAGCCTTGGGCTATAGTCGGTTTCTAGGTACACAGGTTTCAGACCGTTTATATGTGGGTGTATGTGTCTATGTTTTACTGAGCACGTTTCTAAGGTTCATGCGGTAACATGTACTAGTGTTTCATCCTCCTCCATGCTGATGGCATGCTACACAGATCCACTACACTTAACGACTCCATGTGTCCACGGCTGGACAGTGGGTTCTCATCGCTTCTGGTCTCCCTTGAACAATGCTGCTGTAAGCAGCTGTGGATTCCCCTGGAGTACCCTAGGATGGCTCAGATGTGTACTGGAGAGTGACCTTACACTCCCGATCCTCCAGTCCCTCCTGCTTGGTGCTGGGGTCACAGGTGTGAGCCACACCGCCCAGTCTATGTGGTCCTGGAGACTGAATACAGAACTTCATTCAGCCCAGGCAAGTCGCAAGCCCTTTCTAAATCACTTTCTCTGCTCTTCTGTCTGCTCCTACACAATCCTTGCTCTCTGGCCACAGAGGGCACTATCTACCCCCAATGGAGCCCACATCTTTAGATCTCTATGCTTTTTTCCCCTTCTTTCAAGGAAGGAGTGTGTGTGTAAGAATTATATTATGTTTGGTATTTTTCAGACTACAACTTGCAATCTCTTAGAGATTAATAAAATCATTTTTGGAGATTACTTTAAAATGGTACCCAAATGAGCAAGAGAGGAGACTCTGACCATAGATCTGGTCTGAAGTATGGGAGTTGGAGATAGGTCTAGAGATAGAGGCTGCTACATTTAGCCTCCCTTTCGATCATGCATTTCTCTATCCCTCCAGATGTGGCAGCCCACATCTGTCAGGCCAGCACGTGAAAAGCTGAAGCAGGAGGGCCGGGTCTTCCTCTGCTGTATAGAAAGTTAGAGGCCTTCCTGGGCTACAGGAGACTCTGTTTAAAAAAAAAAACAATACCAAGTGAACAAATACCCCAGCAAAACAAAACACCAGTCAATAAATGGAAACCACAATCAGAAAAATCAAGCAAAGAAAGAGTATCAGGTCAGCTTAGGTTATATAGTGGGACCGTGTCTCAAAATAAAATGAACACCCTAAAAACAAAAGCCCAAACCAAATAACACCCCTAAATCCAGTTAATCAAGTTGGGACCAGACCTTTTCCTACCTGCTTAACAGAATCTGCTAATGGAGTAATTCTCCATGCTTACTGTCTACTGTTCCTTTGGGACAGTTCCTTTGGGGCCCACGGCTTGTGATTTCCACCAGGCCCTGGTGGAACAGTCTCTTCCTTCTGTAGTTCTCTTGGGCTACCTGCCCCCACCCACCTGTGCTGTTGGCTGAGACCCTTTCAGTCTCGGATTGCAGGGTTTCACGTGAGATTCTTAATGATCCTATTGTATCCTACCCCTCCTGCTTCCTGGGGTCACTGTTGGGTTTGTCCTTCTATTCTAAGTGCTTTGTACACGTGTGCTTTTCAGCAGTGAGATTTATCATTCGTGCATGTATCTGTGTTGTATTGTGTGTGTGTGCCACGATGCACACGTGGAGACCAGATGACAGTTTTGTGGGGCCAGTTCTCTCCTCCTCGCTGTGTGTTCTGGGGAGCGAACTCAGGGCACCAGGCTTGTGCTCTGCGCGTTCACGTGCTGGACCATCTCTCTGATCTAACAGTGACCATTTGATGTGTTTCATTAGATGGAACCAGTATGTCCCATGGTGCTGTGAGGTCTGTGACAGCCCTTTGAATCTTCTAGGAATGAAAGATTCTAGGCAGCATTACTGGTGTTACACTGCCTTTTGTTCTTCCGGCCCAGTCACCCGTGTTTAGGCTGATGTGAGCATCTCAGCCTCTTCTTCACATGTCCAGATGCAATCTAATGAATTACGCTGACAAACAAGGTTATGTGTTTTGGATCCTGACTTTTTGAGTGCCGATCGCGGCTTTGAGATTTATAAACATAGACAGCTGTCTTCCCAGATGACCTATTAGATCATATTCCCCTTTAAAGCAGAGCCCAATTGGAGGTTCAAAGCCCTGGGTGGTACAGAGGACTAATGACTGCCTGCCCAGTGCGAGGTAGGAGGAGGTAGCCTTGACAGGCCACCTGGTCTTACGGTGACTCTTCCTCATCAGGCCCCTGGAAGGAGGACATTCTTTGCACTGAGCGGAAAGCTCCCGGCAGCTCTTACCCATTGGGCAGCCTCCTGGGTCTGTCTGCTCACCACCTCCAAGTACTTGTAGCATGACCCTTCAAGTTGTGAAGACAGACCCATCATGTTTGCAAGTCTGTAGTCCTTAATGAGGAATAGTAAGAACTGATAAATATGAATAACTATATAATAGTAGGTCCCACTCCATTCATGGGCAGTACGCTTCTCGGTTCCCAGAGTGGGCTGGAACCACAGATACAGCCACCGATGACCGCCAAAACCTATCAGATGACCAAGAAGGCCTTTCAGAGTAGCAAATCCCATGTGGATGCACTGACCACAGCAGCCATTCACGTCTCCAATGGGATGGAGAGAGTGAACGAGCAGGAGATGTCATTCTGCTACTCGGAATGTCACATAATTTAAAATGTAGGAGTCATTTCTTAAATTTTCCATGTGATCTTCTTATAGGTAACCGAGAAAAAGAAAAGAAAAAAAATAGGAAGTGGGGCCACCATATTTATTAACAGTAGTTTGAGAAGCACACCAGTAATATTACCATATTAAAACATCAGTATTAAAAGTGTCATCTTTAATATCTAATTATTGAGCATTAAGTGTGAGCTCAGTGTTGGACTGAGCATTTACCATTGTTAGTATCCCCATGTGATAGATAAGGAATCTGAGACGCAGAAGGCCAGGTAGATTGGCAGGGGTCCTGTAGAGACGTGGAGATGGTCAGGAGTCTTCTGAGTGCACAGCCTCAGGAGAGGGCTGGGCCTGGCCAACTGGCCGTTTCCAGGGAGCTGGTTGCTGAGGACTTGCCTTGCTCTTCCCTGGCTCAGTGACTCTGGAGAGACGTGGGTTCTCGTGTGGACACTCGCAATTTGGGCTGTGAATCTACACAGGTCCCTTCCTTACTCAAGCCTGGGTGACTTCCCTCCTTAAACAGACTGCGAGTCCAGAATTCCGCCCTCTTTAAAGTCCTAGGCTTTCTCCCACCTCGGGACGTCTCTGAGATGAGACTGTACCCTCATCTGCCGTCGTCTGCCAGTCTGTCTCCATTACGGCTCTTTATGAGATGGATGGAGCAGTTCCCCTGGCGGAACCCTCTGCGAAGGTCAGCTTCACTTCTCTTTCCCACAGCAAGGGCAGACACTCTTTATCACAGCCATGTCAGCCTTAGGCAACTGCTGGTCTGGTGGGTCCTTCAGTCTTTTGAAGGCCCTGGTGGTTATGATGCAATTTTACCCCACTTCTGCTAGGTGGCGCTGCTGCACACGGCAAAAGAGCCAGTCTGTCTCCTGCGTAACCCAGTCCAGTGGGCGGACCAAGGGCCATTTCATGACCAGCGGGGAGAGCCTTAGCCAGAAACCCCCTAAAACTAGAAGTTTCCCTGTTCTCCTTATCTTGCCTGTCTTAAACGTTAGCTTCTGAACGTTTCTCTTCTCATTTCTTCCGATTTAGGAAGTTGGAGGCATCTGCCATCTCCCTTCCGTGCCTCCAGCTTAGCTGTCCTTAGCTGGGTTGTTGTAGGCTTAACTGTAAAACATGTGACTGTAAAACATGTGTCTTTTGTCAGGTGTCCTTCTCACCTACTTCTGGAGAAAAGAAAAAGTACAGTTTAGGATCTCATGGCAACAATTCCGACTCCTTGGGCCCCTGCCCCCTCCAATCCTATCTGCTTCCTACCTGCTCTCATTCGCTGTGCTAGCGTTCTTCTGGGATCTCTCGATACTCTTCTGTGAGCTCGGCAGCTGGCGTTCCTGTTCCTGTTCGTCTGAATGGCACCGCAGGGCTTTGAAATGTGGTTTAGTCCCTTACTAGGTGACCTTCTGCCAGGTTTTAACCTCTTGGCGGGCGGTTCCACCCTCATCTGTAAAGTGAGAACACTGATAATAGCTATCTAGAGGCGTGGGCGTTTCAAATGAGTTCTCAATGCTCCACCTTTAAGAGGACTGAGCCTTAAGTACTGCAGAGAAAGTACTGTAGAATTTACAGTTGGAGTTGTCAATCAACTGCTACTTGTTTATTTGAGATAGGGTCTCACTAGGTAGCCACAGCTGGTCTTGAACTCACAATCCTTTTGTTTCCCCCTCTTGAGTGCAACATGACAGACGTGCACAACCACCCCTGGCTTGTGCACAGTGAACCATAGTGAACTGAAATTGCTACTTTAAAAGATCAGGGATATTCTGGGAGGAAATTTGACAGTCGGAAGAAAAAGCCTGAACAAAGATGATTGCTAATTTCTTTCTTATTGGAGTGCTAAGCAGTACATAAGATTTCAGGGTGGAGGGATTTCTAATTGCGGTGTTTATTCTATAAACATCATTAACCGAAGTCCGGAGATGACTCAGTTGTTAAAGTGCTTGCCTGGCAAGCATGAGAACCTGGCTTTGATTTCCCAGAACCATGTAAAAAAAAAAAAAAAAAACTTGGTGTGGCCACGTATACCTGTAATCCCAGTGCTGGTGAGGCAGAGTCGGGAAGATCCAATTAGCCAAGCTACACAAATCCGCGAGCTATAGGTTCAGAGAGAGACTGTCCTCCAAAATAAGATGGAGCGTGAATGAGGAAGATACTCAGTATTGACTTCTTGGATACACACACACACACACACACACACTCACACACACTCGTGTGACACACTTGCACACAAATCATTGACAATTGAATAAAAACACTGAAATGACTGACTAAATAATGACCTGACCACATGTTGAACTATTTTTCTATCATTAAGTGAATTTCTATGGGTCATTAATGATGTGCAAAGGCATCATTTTTTTTTAAAAAATACTTACTTTCGTGTTATATGTGTGTGTATGTATGTGTGCTAAGCGGTGCACAAGATTTAAGTGAGAAGGGATTTCTGATAGCAATGGCTAACCCTCAAAAGCGTCCGCTTTATTTTTTGAAATAGTGCCTCTCCTGGGACCTGTGGCTACCCATTCAGTTAGACTGGTTGGCCAGCGAGCCCAGATGGGGGAGGGTCCTCCCGTTTCTGCCTCCCCAGCACTGACACTGTAGGTGCTTGCCACCTTGCTTAGCTATTTTCATGGCTTCTCTGGATGAAATGCTGGTCCTCATTATTGCAGGGCAAACCCTTCACCCACTGAGCCATCTCCCGAGCTCTAAGGGAATGGATTAGAGCGACAACCATGGCGCAGCCGTGGCTTCTTCTACCCTCTAATTAGCTGGCCAATCCCACCGTGAACTCTGTGCAGGCTCTGTGACAGCCAGTAGGCTAGCTGGGGGTGGACTGCCTGTGGGCTTTTTCCTTTCAGCTGGGAGCCTGGTTCTGTTTGCATCATCTTCTATTTTAAGGCTTCTCTATGATTCCTGCCCTCTGGCCATTCTGAAGCTGTTTTTGTTGATAACATGTTCCTTTTATGACTCAGTAGATTTCTCTCTTGCAATCTCTTCCTCAAACTTTCCTTTTCCACAACAAATTCCATGACCACATAGCTGCCTCCCCCATGTTACCCCACGCCACACTCCCTTCCCATCCAAAGCAAACAACACTTCAGACCCCTGCAGACAAAGTCAAGATAGCAGATCTTAATCTTTGCTACATCTTTTAAGTCCAAATAAAAACTAACTGTCTGAGCAAGTGAGGTTACACTCTCCGGAGGAAAGGATGACTAATTTGATGAAAGATATTGGGAAATTTGACCAGCTATTTTGGAAAAAAAAGGAATGAGATTCCGATGGCATACCACGAAATAAATTCCAGATGGACTTCAGAGTCATAGCTAGGCAGTCCTGAGGAAGATATCAGTGAAGGTCTCATTTCAAAAGGGGAGCAGCCACCTAGAGATTTACCTAAAGGTTTATTACATGCAAAGCCTTATGTGTCTACATGAGCATAAATTTCTTCTAAATTAACCAAGTGGAAAACAAATAAATAAAAGACTTGTGACCAAGATAGAGAACCTTAAGATAGAAAAAGTCTTAGGAAGTTAATAAGAAAATCTCAGTAAATCATTAACAAAATAAGCAAAGAGAAGCACATTTAGAAGTAACAGAGTCAGGGGACATTTTCTTGCAGCATGAACCAGGCGGATTATATAAAGAACTTCCTTGATCAATGGAAAAATGACAAATAGCTCAACCTACAAACTAGCGGAGGCTGTGAATGGGCAAGTTCCCAGAATATGAACAGGCGTGGCAAACAGAGACTCTCAGCCTCACTAATGATGTTCTCTGTGGAAGTCCTATTTCTGCTTGGTGTCAGGAGGGTGACGAGGAAGGATCATGAGTTTGAGGCCAACCTGGGTTATTTAGAAAAAAAAAAAGGAAAAGGAAAGTAAAATTGGCAAAACTTCAAAACTAAAAAGAAGCAGAATGGTCGTGGATGTGAATACCACCACCACCACCAACAACAACATTACCACTACCACCATCACCACCGTCACCAACATAACCACCACCACTACCATTACCACCACAACGACCACCATCATCACAACGACCACCATCACCTCCACCATCACCACCATCATCACCATCACCTCCACCATCACCACCATCATCACCATCACCACCACCATCATCACCACAACCACCATCACCACCACCACTAACTACATCACCACCATTGTCACCATCACCACTACCACCATCATCACCACCACCATCACCATCACCACCATCACCACTACTATCACCACCTCCACCACACCACACACACACACACACACACACACACACACACACACACGAGAACAATAATTCTCCTATCCTCATGGGTAGATCTTTGGAGGGCAATTTGAATGTAAAATTTGAAGATCATTTGTTCCTTTTAGCCTAGCAATTCTGCTTCAGGTTCTTTACCCGTTGGCACATTCATACACGTGCATAGAGATGTATGCAGCAAGTTTTCTCTGGAAAGAAAAGCTATTAGGATATTCACAGACATACACCTTGTCATAGGTGCATGGATTTTCATGGACTTTTTGAAAGGTTTTGGAAATAACCCAGCTGTCCAGTAAGAACAGGTTGACATATAAATGATACGCAGAGTCTTAATGGAGTATCGCTCAGCTTGTAAAATGAACGAGGTAGATTTATATGCCTGGTGGGTAGAGATGTGCACTATAATAATAATAAAAAAGCAAATTTAATCATGACCAAAGCAATTACTTTTGAAAGCAGTTTGTACAGCTTTGGGTAAAGTCTAACTCCACTCAGGCAAACAAAACACGGAGCTGTGTTCTTTGTGGGTTTAGCAGGACCCTCCAGATGGTGGTGGCCTTGATTGTAGGCCATGCTGAGGCATACCCAGTTCCTAGCACCTGTCGCCTGGAGCAAATCTCGGTCGCTTTTCTTTCTCTCCTAAGACTGCTGAGTGTACCTGAGGTGCCATAGCCTTTTCCCGCTGCTGTGAAGTGGGACATGACCTTGTTATGGGATTCTGAAGGGTTCTTTGTAACTGACAGAATAAAGAATTGTCCCACACCAGTTCTTCTTAGAAGGGGTCATGGTAATCATCTCTCCAACAGTGTAAATTCAGGATCCTGAACTACTTCTGGCTTGGTACCAGCAGGCATTTCTCAGTGATGACAGGTCACACACAGGCTAGGTAGGGCCGCCCTCCACGTCAGAGAGAAGTAAGGTTGGTGCCGAAAGGGACCTTGAGGCCGTTTGGGTGCAGGGTAAACTCTGCTTGAGGTTCTATTTGGTTTTCTTTTCTGTCCTCAAGATGAAGCCCCTGTTCCTAACCAAATCCCGGAGGTATTGACTTGTCCTCTTCGTGTCCTCTATCACCTGAGGGGAGATGCCCTTATTAGGAAAGCTGACAAGTTCTCCCCACATACAGATGGGAGAACAGGCTGGGTACTCCCACCTACCTACAGTCCCTCAGATTCCTTCAGAAGCTGTGGGCTGTGGCTGGACGTGACAGGTTCATCTCCACTGTCCGCCTGTTCTTCTCACCTTTGCTTTTGTGGATTGCGTGGGGGAACTTAGTAAATGTGGACGGGGAGGGGATCTCTGCACAAGTAGGTGGTGGGAGATGAGTCCTAACTCCCCGGATGGAGAGAGGGACCGCAAGGTTTCCTGAGGGGCTTTTTCCCTTCTGAATGAAAGTCCTCATTGGGACACCACTCCCCACGTTAAGCTGAGATGGGATGATTCTCATTTGCCTTGTTTTATAAAGGAAAGCAGAGCTGACAGACTAGGGCTTGCTAGGAGTCATACAGCGAGAGTGACTCCCTCGTTGTCGTGACTCCCACATTGTTGTATGGGTAGCAATATGGAGAAGGTGGCCACATTGTCGTGTGAGTAGCAATAATACCAGAGAGGCCAGTTCTCTGAAAAACAAAATAAGAAGGCTGTTTGAAGATCAGGACATGTGACCATATCTTGTCTGTTTGGGTCTGGTTATTTGGGTGAGGTTGTAAAATATTCTGGAAGTGTTTATCAGAACAGTTTCCCGAGTTTTCTTTTTTTAACTATCTGAATTTTAGCTCTTTGGGTAGATCCATGTTTCTGAAAGTGTCATAACTTTTGTAGATCCTATGTTTTTAAACATGTTTCATAGGAATGGAATGATTTTAAGTTGTGAAGAGAACAAACGAGGAATATAATACGTGAAGTGTAAAATTATAGTGTGGTAAAACTGACCTAGTGACACCAAGAAAACGAGATACTCGCTTGTATAGGTGACCCGACGGGAACTCCGCCATTTCCAAACTCGTGAGTTCTGAAACCATCAATCGATTCATCTCATGGATCCACGTCCCCCTTGGATCCCATTTGACCCTTCGAGAAGGTTTCCAGTGGCCACCACATCTAGTCATCCTATTCACTGTAGCATGAGGGCCTGCTTGTTGGGGTTTCTGTCCTGCCTGGTTACCACAGCCAGTAAATCCCAAAGAAAATTATATTAATGATAAACTGATT